CTCAAAGGAGATCTGCTGCTCGGGACCCCATAAAAATGTAACGCCTTCCGGGTCAATCTGGTGAGTGGCACTGCAATCTTGGAGAAATCCTTAATAAACCTCCGATAATACCCTGCCAACCCAAGGAAGCTCCGGATCTCGAAGGTGACTTTGGCACCTCCCACCTCATCACTGCGTCAACCTTGGCCGGATCGACCAATATCCCTTTCTGATTAACGAGGTGCCCCAGAAACTGGACCTCCCGCAACCAGAAATCGCACTGGAAAACTTTGCATAAAGTTTCTCCGATCTCAAAACTCCAAGAACCTCCCTCAAATGCTCCTCGTGTTGCTCTCTAGATCTCGAATATACCAAAATATCATCAATGAACACAATCACCGACCGATCCAACATCGGCCGACATACCCTGTTCATGAGGTCCATGAACACAGCCGGGGCATTGGTGAGCCAAAAGGCATCACCACAAACTCATAATGCCCATAACGCATCCTGAATGCTGTCTTCTGGACGTCCTCGTCCCGCACTCTCACCTGATGATAGCCCGACCTCAAATCGATCTTGGAGAACCAAGATGCTCCCTGTAATTGATCGAATAAATCGTCGATCCTCGGCAACGGGTAACGGTTCTTGACCGTCAGCTTATTCAATTCTCGGTAGTCAATACACATGCGATGCGAGCCATCTTCTTCTTCACAAACAGAATGGGTGCTCCCCACGGCGAGCTACTCGCCGAATAAACCCCTTCCCAGCAACTCCTGAAGCTGCGAGGATAACTCTTGCATCTCTGGAGGCGCAAGGCGATAAGGCACCTTAGCGATAGTGCGCTCCCGGAACCAAATCGATACCGAACTCCACTTGCCTCACGGGAGGCACACCTGGTAACTCTTCGGGAAAAACATCTGGAAACTCACGCACCACCGGAACTTCATCCACTGAACTCGGTCTCTCGGAGATCACTCGCGTATCCATCACGTACGCCACGAAACCCTTACAGCCCTGCTGTAAACACTGCCTCGCCCTAGCGGCCGAACAAAAGGCTGATCCAGAACGTGTACCCTCGCCGTAAACCGAAAGAACTCCCACTAGGATCTCGTATGGTCACCAGCTGACGCTCGCAATCGATAACCGCGCCGAAACGGCTCAACCAGTCCATGCCCACTATAACACAGACATCACCCATCGCAATAGGAATCAGGTCGATCGGGAACTCAACCCCAAAAATCTCCAATACGCATCCCCGGAGGACCTCCGTGGCACAAATCACTTTGTCGGCGGCTATGGAAACCCGCAGGGGCCGACTCAGTGCCCCACGACTAACACTGATATGCTGACTAAATGTCAAAGATACAAAAGATCGACTCGCACCCGAGTCAAATAACACTAAAGCAGGTACAGAGTTCACGAGGAAGGTACCTATGCATAGCATAATATAAGCATAATATCTCAACACCAAAAATAAATAATAAAAAGGGAACGTACCAGCCACAACGTCGGGTGCAGCGCGGACCTCTTCCGCAGTCAGCTGAAAGGCTCTCCCTCGAGCTCTCGGTGCCTCGGCCTTCACGGGCCGACTCTCTGTAGCTCTGATGGCGGCGGGAGCAGATCCCTGAGACGCTCCGCGCAGCAGCGGACACTCTGCCTTCCGGTGTCCGGTCTGGTTGCAGTGGAAGCACACTGCAAACCCCTTGGGGCAGTCCTTGGCCATATGCCCCTCCTTGCCACATTTGTAGCAAGACCCTGCTCGACAGACTCCATCGTGACCCTTGCCGCACTTCCCACAAGTGCGGCCCCTCTGGCTCCCGGGTTTGGGATCAGCGGGCTTGGCCCGCTTGGCTGCCGGCTGGAACTGTGCCGGCCGCCGATCCCTCCCTAGAGACTCCGCCTCCTCCCTGGCCTGAGTCTCAAGCTCAATCTCCCTCTTCCGGGCATTTGCCTGAAGCTCAGCAAATGTCCGATACGAGGAGTTCGCAGCGAACTCCCGAATATCCCGTCTCAGAATGCTCAGGTAACGGCTCATACGTGCCTGCTCGGTGGACACGTGCTCAGGGCAGAACATCGCCCTCTCATGAAACATCCTCGTAATCGCTGTAACTGACTCGGTACCCTGCTTGAGGGTCAGAAACTCCTGTGCCAGACGCTCCCTCTCCACCTGAGGAACGTACTCATCTCGGAACATGGTAGTGAACCTCTCCCAGGTCACTGCCGAAAGCTCAGTAGGCGTGAAGTGCGCCGTCACAAACTTCCACCAGTCCTTCGCTCCCAAGCGAAGCTGGTTCAGCGCGAACCGAACCTTCAAATGCTCAGGGGACGAGCAAGTGAAGAAGCATCCCTCCATGTCAGATATCCACCTCATAGCTGCCACCGGATCCTGCGTACCATCAAACTCTGGTGGTTTGGTGTTGCTGAACTCCCTAAACAGTGACGCATCACCTCCCTGGGGCCTCGCCGCAGCGATCGCTGCGGTAGCCGCTGCGACAGCAGCCTCAGAAAGAGCGGCATAGCGCTCGTCAAATGTCTCAATCAACGCGGTCTTAATAGACCCAAACATCTCTGGTATCTCAGCTCTGATGACCGCAGCCACCTCCTCATGAATGATCTGTCGAATCTCCTCATCACTAGCTCCGGCATCCTCTGGCATGTGACGTGTCCTCACCATGATCAACCTCTGAAATACAACATGCGATAATTAGAATTCACTCGAACACTCTTACATTCGACAATCCACCCCTCCTTGATTCTTGGTATCCCAAGATTCTTATTTGGGCCGTGTACCGCACCGGTACTTTCAGTAGTACGGGCCCAATACTACTGTCCGCACCGTCTCAGTACACACCCCAAATCTTCCTCTTCGGATCCCAATCCCCAAGTACTCTATTATGCTTAAATCACTTTCTAACAGATCTCTCACAAACCCCTAGCTGCTATCTACTCACTCTCAGCATCTCATAGCAGCTCACCCCTCCCTAGGCTAAGGCATCACAAATCAGGCCACTCTAGTCCTATTAGCAATACCTAGCCTACTCTAGCATGCAAACACATCATATTAATATTAATTATCACATAATATAAAGGTATTTTGGGAATTCACCGTTCGGGCGCTGACTGATCGTACACACGTTTCTTCCTGGAATCTGTTTCCTTTTCAAGAAAATCTTTTACTCTTAGAAAATTTTGGTTTTATTTTGAAAATACTTTTCCAATTCCTCAGTTTGAGTTCAAATACCCCCAAAGGTGTACCCGAATCCCTCAAACCAAGGCTCTGATACCAATTGTAACACCGTAAATTTCAAAACAAATTTTTTCAATTTTATAAAACATAATTCCATCGATATTCATAAAAACAACCATTTAATTATCCAAACAAGACAATACAAAATCCCAAGATCATAATATCAAACTCCGAGCGTGTGTGTGTACGGATCAAGCCGGCGCCTTCCCGCGATCGTCACTAGTACCTGAAACAATAACATCAAACACTGTAAGCACAAGCTTAGTGAGTTCCCCAAAATACCACATATAACACATATTAGCCACTCGAGGCTATAACTCTGTGGGTCCGTGCACCCAAACTCTGTGAACCCTCAGGTTCTAGCTCTGATAAATATGCACCACATAAATCACATAGAAATAATGCAGTACAACACGTAACATACATAGCATACCAATACTCTATCACATAACTCTGGTTACCTACTCAAGGTAAAGTATAATGAGAAGACTCACCTCGTGTGTCTCGGTAAGTCGTAAATCTGAAATCGCTAATCACTCGATCTGCCGAGCTATAGTCCCCCTATAGCACAATACATCCCTAATTAACACTTTCCCAACTAGGGTTGACCATACTATAACAAGTCAACTTAGGTCAACACTGGTCAACGGTCAACGGTCAACTTTGACCGGACTCGGCGAGTACGCTATAGCGACTCGGCGAGTCTGAGCGTATACACCAATTTCCCTGGGATCCTCCCTTGACACGTCGAGCATTCTCCCAACTCGACGAGTTCCACCTGGCATGAGTTGTGGGGCCACCACGACTCAACTCGCCGAGTCTCAAGAACAACTCGGCGAGTCCAGTTTGACTCAGTCCACCTGTCCACTCTGACTCCCCCTGACCCACTGAGTCCACCCTTCCAACTCGGCGAGACCACTCACTGTGTGGTCGGGCAACATTCATGCTACTCGCCGAGTCTGTTCTTCGGACTCGGCGAGTCCGTGCCATGCAATGACTCAAACTTGCTCATAAGGTCAGATCCAGTCCATTAACCCATAGATCCAGTCCTTCCAAGCTCATTTAGCACGTAAAGTTACAATCTTGATGCACATACAACCTCTATATGACCATATATGATGTTTTTGACTCAAATACTACAACACAAGGTCATGAACTCCATTGCCATACAAAAAGCTTGATGAGTGAGGCTCTCTGGACCTCTATGGATCCAGATCCAAAACCTCAGCACAAGGAGGGAACCATTGGGCATCAAATCATCCCATAAATGTCCACAAAAGCCCTAAATCGCATAATACTTCACCAAACAGAATATAAACCGAAATCATACCTCTAGATTGATGATCTAGGCTCCAAATCCACGAAATAGCAACCTCCTTTGCTTCCTCTTGCCTAGGATCACCTCCTTCTTTGCTAAATGGCACCCACAAGGTCAAGATATGCTCCTTTCTCTCTCAAATCGTCCAAGCACTCAAGGGTTTCTCTCTCAGGGTTGGGTGAGCACAAATGACGGCCATAAGGCCCTTTAAATAGGTCTCAAACCCGGAAATTTAGGGTTTCACTACACAGCGCAGACTCGCCGAGTCCATATCCTGGACTCGCCGAGTCCGGCGCGATCCATCGTCCAATCCGCGTCTCTACTCGGCGAGTCTGAGCTCCAACTCGCCGAGTCCCCCTCACAATTTAACAAAATTCAATTTACATGATACCTGGCAAAAGTCCGGATGTTACAATACGTGCATAGGATTTTTTATTGAAATCACTAACCAACTTAGCTGCAGGGGAAATAACAGGTTTCGAAAAAATCCATGTTCAAGAAATTAGCTCCCTGTTCCTTCTTCATATTATTACCAGAATCAACTTCCAAATTCCCATTCTCATTCATTGAATCTTTCATATCTTCATCATTACAATTAGTAGGACAACTAATTGGGGCAATAGGATTATCATCAAAGACCAAAGGGGTACCTGAATTAACTGGAGCAGCTTGCGAAAAAGGAAATTTTCCCAAAATGCCCTTGCCATCATTTGTTTCAATTACAGAACCAGGGGCTGAAGAAGACGATCCAGTCTTCATTATCTTCAAAGAATTGAGGCCCTTGGAATAATTCGACTCATCAACTGGCGACTGAGAAGAAGATCGATTAGCACTAGTATTTTCCTTTGAAGAATTAAATCCCTCGAGCATGTCTGATGTTACTGGCAGCATCACAAATCCTTTTTCCTCAACCATTTCATTCCTCAATTTAGACATCCCAATTGATTTGATTTTGTTCTGCGATTCCAATTTCTTCCCATCCGCAATCTCCTTCTCAAA